TATTAAACTGCTGAATGGACCTCTCTAATTTCAATCTAATGTTAACTTGCTTTTGTGCACGTCCTATGCAGTGGTAACCTTGTGTGTCTCGCTGTGTCTAAGCACCTTATGATCTGTGTGTCCTTGTTTATTATGATCTGCCTGTACTGCTCGCAGAACAAAACTTTTCACTGTACTTAGGTACATGTGACAACAATAATTCAAATCAAATCAAACCCATGTGCCAACCATACTATTATGAGCAACTTTGAAAAGACACACTAGAAGAAATATATTTTAATTCCTTTGACCTTAGAACAAATATATAGCAAAAGACATCATAAAAACTTAAATTAAAATATTTCATAACAAAGTAATTTGATACATGCTACAAAATCTGTGGCACTTATTATGTTCACATTTCTGGGTTACTGTTACCAATTAATGCCAACTGTAAGAGTGGCTTGAGATTATGTCTTTTTGGAAGCACTAAGAATTTGACAAAATGCAAGTTGTTATGGTAATTAGTAATTGATTATGGAAAATAAAGCAGTTAATATACTAATCATACTAGATGCACACTGCATGTTAACCAATGGCATTGCATGAAGGCTTGTTGTCTTCCCACATTTTGAAACAGTGTAATAAATTTTTCCTTTCCATTGAGTTCTATAGATTAAATTAAGTTATCCACATTGAACCTGTCAAATTTGCTCTCATTATAGTATTTATTTCTCAAGTCTGGAAAAGGTGTGCACCATATAAATGCGTATATGGGATCATGCAGAAGTGGTTGACTGAAAAAACAGCAAACTGGAAATAATGGTTAGTGGAAAATGTAGACGGTGAATGATCAGCTCCACCAAGTACTGTTGTACATCCTCGAGAATTGCTGCCTACAACAATACCACACAAAAGAGTTTACTGTGGTATGTCAAACATTGAAAGTAAACAATGCATTCCATCAATGCTATTTAATCCCCAAACAGTCAGTTTATTTGTCACAGGGTTAGATGTATCATAGTGCTAATTGCTTTTATATAACTATGGTTTATTGTGTACCAGACAGAGACACTGTTTATTTAGAGTTCTACAGAAGATCATGGCACAGATGTAACACCTCCCTCATGACATTTGTCTTCTGTTGTAATCTGCTAAAGTCTTCTATTAACATTTTACAAAATCAAATCCATGGCCGTAAACTGACCTTGAAAGATCTAGATTTGGAGAGTGTATTAGTTTCTGTGCAAAGTCAGAAATGTTTGACAGGAAGGCTGATATATGTTAGGTTTTAATGCTGAAGTACATCATTTTGCTGTGGTCAAGTTTCAGGACATATGGTAGGATTATTTACCTTCTCAGTGGCAATCATACGTAAATGACAAAGTTACAATGGTTACATGTCTGAACTAAATATGAAAAGCAAAGTGCTGAGGGTGATGGAGTTCTGAAATAAAAACACAAAGTGCTGGAGACACTCAGCAGATTTTTTCAAATTCATTCACAGGATGTACGCTTCGCTGGCTAAGCCTACAATTATTGCTTATCCTTGTTGTCTTTGGAAAGTGGTGGTGAGCAGCCTTCTTGACCATTGCAGTCCATTTCAGTGTAGGTACACCCACAATGCTGTTAAGGTTGGATTTCCCTGTTCCACGATTTTGACCGAACGACCATGAAGGAATGGCAATGTATTGCTAAGCCTGGAGGGAAACTAGTGGGGAGTGGTGTTCCCCTGTATCTGGTGCCCTTGTTCTTCTGGATAGTAGCGGTTGTAGTTTTGGAATGTGATGTCTAAAAAGCCTTGCGGCATTTCTGCAATGTGCCTTGTAGGTGATACACACTGCTGCTCCTAAGCATCAGTGGTGGAGACAGTGGATGTTTGTTGATGTGGTGTCAAGTAAGAGAGCTGATTTTTCCTGGTTGGTGACTGGCATGAGTGTTGTTGGGGCTGCACTCATCCAGGCAAGTGGGGAGTATTCCATCACACTCCTAACTTGTGCCTTATAGTTGGCAGACAGCATTTAGGGAGTCACGAGGTGAGTTACTTGCTGCAGTACACATAGCCACTGACCTGTTCTGGTACCCAAAATATTTATATGGCTAGTCCAGTTTAGTTTCTGGTCAGTGGTTACCTCCACATTGATTGTGAGGGATTCAGGAATGCTAAATTATTGAAAGTCAAGGGGTGATGGTTTGATTAACTCTTAATGGAGATGATAATTATATGGCACTTGCGTGGCATGAAGGTTACTTGCCACTTATCAGCCCAAACCTAGATATTGTTCAGGTATTGCTGCATTTGAACATGGGCTGCTTCAGTTTCTGAGGAGTTGCGAACGGTACTGAACATTGTGCAATCAAGACAGAATATCCCCATTTCTGGCCTTATGATAGAGGGAAGATTCTTGATGAAGTTGCTGAAGATGGTTGGGCACAGGACACACCCCTAAGGAATGCCTGCAGAAATATTCTGGAGCTGAGATTATTGACCTCCATAAACCACAATCATCTTCTTTTGTACCAGGTATGAGCCCAACCAGCAGGGAGTTTTCACCCGATTTCCATTGACTCCCGTATTGCCATGACTCTAATGATGGAATGGTCAAAAGGAGATTCCTCAGATTCCTGCCAATCTGGCATCTGGAAGGACTTCACCACACATCAGTCAGATGTTATATCCATGTGGATGCCTTAAGAGCTATCTAACGTCAGTGCCGTGTGACATGATTTCATTGTCTCACTGCTGGTTTCACTATACTGATCATGTAGGGTAGATCATGTGTTGATACTTTAAGGTGGGATCATCCAAAAATATCATATGTACAATCACATGGATTATGAGACATCTATTTACAAACATAAAAATCATGGACTGAAAAAAATAACAATTCCCACATCAACTTTTTAGTAATCATTGGCTGCCAGTATGGTTAGCAACAGAATCACAAACAACTGAATGCAGTCTGTACCTAGCTCGTTCATCCTGGAAACAGGGTGCCACTCAGGTTTGGTGATGCATTGCTCTGTAACGAACACTTGGTTCAAATCCTGATCCCTAGACGGATCTTCATCCTCAGAACATAGCTTACAACTCCACCCTTCTGTCTGTATCCAAGACATTCTCCCTGGCAGCTGCCATGATACGTATGTCCTTGAGAAGTGTCATGTTCCTGCTTTATTCCACAGAATGTCTTTCAAAGATGGTTACTGGGAGTCTACATATTTGGCTGATTACTGTATTTCACAACCCCATGACTGAGGCTAAGAGTAAATACAATGCAGCCCATTCCTCCACCATTGTGGAACTGATGGACTTGCTGAAAACTAGAGTTCCCAATGCTTTGAATAATCAATTGTTCAGTCAGTGGGCGGCGGGGAGGGTGGGGGTGGAAGTGGAGACAAACCATGCTGCCTTTTTACAGCAATAGTTGCCATAGTGTTAAGAGTATAAAATGTAATGAGGCTTGTGTTAACAGTACTATTTATGGTTCTGTCTGACCTGCTGAGTTTCTCCAGCATTCTGTGTGTTTGATTCAGATTTTCCATCATCCATGGTATTTTGCTTTTATAAGATAGTATGCTGTTAAGAGGACATTAAAATGTCTGCAAAGGGATTTAGATAGATTAAGAGAATGGCCAAAGGTTGCCCATAATAGGGGGGAAAAAGTGAACTTGTCCTCTTCGGTAGGAAGTGAAGCAGTAAATTACTTAAATGGAGAGAGACTGTACAAAGGGTTCTGGGTGTCCTGTACATCAATCACAAACAGATCATCATATTGAGGTAAATAATTTTCCTGCATCGTTGAAGATGTGGTGTGAGGTCAACAGATGCTCCTGCAACAGTCACTTAATCCACATTGACCTGAAATTCGTTTGAATCCCTTCTAGAAGTGGCTGCACAGTACGGCAGTGAACTCTGATTCTACTTCAGTTGTCTGCTTGATTCCTGGGATCTGTCGCATGGAGATTCCATACGCATGTGGACCTCTGTCAGTACAATTCCCTTTATGGAAGGATCCATGAGATCATTATTCTTCAATTTCTCTGCAGCCAGGGAATGGTATATCTAAATTCTCTGCTCAACCTCATCAGGCTTTAACTTCCATGTGTCTGCCCTGGCTTCTGACGTTTATAAGTATCTACATGATACCTTGTCTATGCTGCTTGAGGATGTTAGGAATGGGTGAGAGAGTGATTTTTTAGGTGGGTGAGTATTCACCATTTTTGTCAAGACGTTATGTTCTGCAGCCTCTGGAGATGAAAAAAATACTTTTAATAGCCAGGTGCTTGAGCAGTATTCAGTCTTAATGCACCCAGTTATGAAATCAATAAAAAGAAAACTGGACGATTGTAAAACTGGCAGATAATCTTTATGTCAGTTTTACATGTGGTCAACAGGTGAAAATCTGCCCTGGTGTGTTCTTATTTCTTTAGTTTTTGCATAAGCCTAATTTAGTTTCTATCAAGTAAACCTGGGAAAGGAACATTCTACTCTTACAGCTTTAAAAAAAACTTAATTCTGCTACCAAACTGATAAATAATTACATATTATACTTAAAAAAAAGAAGCCCTTCATGAAGTAGATTCCAATGGCTGGAATTATGTTCTATCAGTAGAGTCACTTGGCTTAGCGCTGCATAATCCTATTCCATAACGTCATGCCACGTGGAAAACTCTAGTCTGCAGGGAGTGGCAAACTCGGTCAAAAGATGTGCTGTTAATTCTATGCTCCTGAACTGCAACATTTGGAAATAATTTGTGTTGCAAATGAGAAATACCAGAAAGGATATTCATAGGTTGCCGTCTGTACTGTAGTGTATGATGTTCTGAGTTAGCTTACAGTAAACCTCCAGAGAACCTACCATCTGGTTAATGAACAGACAAAACACATTTATTACTAAAAGGTAGTATACCTTCTTTCAAAGTTATGAAGTTGTTGTTTGAAGTGTTTCTAATAAATAATTGCAATAGCACAACTTTAGCTCAGAAAAATTGATTTTATTTTGATTTTGTCATTGTAGGTATGCAGGAAATCACAACTTAGAAGCACGGCAGCTTTGTGCACACGTTGACCCAGAATTTACCCTACTTCTGTGGGTGTGAATTACCACAAAATGCTAATTAGAAGAAAAGACTTTCTGACTGTTCTGCTGACCACTGTTGGAAGCTGTGTGAAAACTCCACAAAGGTATCAATCTCACGGTATAATTCATGGAATTCTATCTGGACCGGCTTCCCACCACAAATGCCTTTTCCAAATGTTCCATGGAATGTTTAACTTCCTGTTCTATGTTGGTTATCCCTTGTGTTGAATAAATGCTGTTGTATATTTGGGGGTGTGTATATCTTCTTCTTGTTAATTATAAAATGCCAAGAGCTATACATAGCATCCTTGCTAGCAAGTAAAACACACTCAGTATGAGGTGGTGCTTTTATTGGGGATTATTGCCACAAAATAGGCAAAGGAAAAAGAGCCAGCACAAACATGTGAAGAAAATAATAGTGAGAAGTTGTTTCATCACCATACTGGATGCCACATTTCCCTAGGTTCCTGCTTGGCTTCACTAGTAGCTATTGCAGTACAAGCTTGTGTCCAGTCTCCTGGCATTAGAAGATTTGATAGTGACAGGCAGGCTCAAAATCATAAGCCTTTTGGTATTTATTTCTGGGAAGTAGGCCCTGAAACCAACAACAATGACTGCTGTGAGAACCCCCTTTAACTAATTTTCTTGCCACACTTTTGGAAACAGTTTCATTCAGACTTGTGCCACGTAAAGGCTATGCAGATGGTCTAAACGCAAAAACGCAGTTGATTCCTATCAGTTCAGGTGCAGAAAATGTTGTGCAGGTGGAAGACATGAAAAGAGGAAATTTGGCACCAGCATGTGCTGAAAACAGAACAGTGGAGGTGTTTTCATAGAATCAAACGGCACTCGAGGAAGCAATTTAATCTGTGTAGATTCTGTCACATAATTCTGTCACATAAAGCTTTGCAAGATTACAGAGAATGCAAACTTTACCTCAGAATCAGACCTTTCCTTTTGTTGCAGAGTATGGTGCTTATGGTAACGGTTTTATTGAATAATTGCCGATTTGCTAGCAGTCAGATTGGGTGCCCAATGACAATGTGCTCAGAATCATTAGAGACTCAGAGGTGAGACAAGAATCAAACACAAATATATTCAATCTGAATGTGAAAGAACATGGACCAGATAGCTGGAAGGGAGTGGCAATCAGGCTCCTGTCTTATGTAAGTATATCCATTAACTTCAAGGGTACAGATAATTTACTTTTATGAATTTGATGCTACTCCCAAACAAACAATCCTTCCCTTTCCCTGCTGGTAGAGTTCTCCTTTGTTCCATTGGCTGCCTTTTTTATTGTTGTTTCCAAACACTATTTTCCCCTCAACTGAGAAAACTGATTTAGCAATCTGGAAATTCTGCCAGTGTTGCTCTGTCATGGGCTCCTCTGTTATGCACAAGACATCCGTGCAGTGAGTAGCTCAATGTTGACTTCATACTGCCTTACAACTGGAGGTCTTCTCAATCCACCGGATGGACTGCACGGCATCCTCTGACAAGGTAAAGGGTGAGAGGTCTGCCTCCTGATCGACACTTCTTGGTGCTCGGATGTGATGGCCTTGGTGAGTTACTACTCCCCGGACCTAGAATATCTAACGGTGAAGTGCTGTCCCTACTACCTGCTGTTGGGAGTCTACTCCAGCTATCCTGACAGCAGTTTACATCTCACCCTCCAAAATGAAGAGCGCACTTGATGAAATGTACACCACCACAAATAGATGAGATGGACTACCCTGAGGCCTTGTTCATTGTTGATGATTTCAACCAGGCCAATGTCAAGAGTGTGCTACCAAGATACCACCAACATGTCTCCTGTACTACCGGAGGCTCAAATGACCATTGCTACACAACCAAAGATGCCTACAATGCTGGTCTAAGGTAATGGACGAGCTTGGAGTCAGTGGACTGCTCCATTATCAGGAACTCAGTGACCAACCTACCGTCACAGACTGCATCAGTAAGTGTGTAGAGGACTTTGTGCCAAAGAAGTTAATCTGAATGTTCCCCAACTGGAAACCATGGATGAATCAAAAGATCCATTCCTTATCGAAGTCCAGGTTCTCAGGCATTCAAGTCAGGTGACCTATACAGGAAATCTAGGTATAATTTTCGTAAAAACATCAGGGAGGCTAAGAGCCAATATCAGACTAAGCTAGAGCCCCAGACCAACTATACGAGCACATGTTGACTGTGGCAAGGCTTACATAACATAAAGGGCTACAAAGGCAATAACGCATCCCTCCCTGATGAGCTCAATGCATCCCGCGCTCATTTTGAACAAGTCAGTGAAATGATGTCACCTCCCCCGACAGCCTTGGGTGTACCTGTACCCACGGTCACTGCTGCAGATGTTAGATCAGCCTTCTGGAGAGTGAACCCATGGAAAGCAACTCGCCCAGACAGAGTCCCCAGCCATACGCTCAGATCCTGTGTGGACCAACTGGCAGGAATATTTGCAGACTTCTTTAACCTCATTTTGCTACAATGTGACGTTCCCACCTGCTTTGAGAAGACTGTTATCACCCCAAAGTGCCAAATAAAAATCAGATAGCATGCCTTAATGACTACTGCTGTGGTGGCTCTGTCATCCATCATTATGAAGTGCTTTGAGAGGTTAGTAACGGCACACATCAACTCCAGCCTCCCAGACTGCCTTGATCTGCTACAATTTGCCTACTGTCACAATAGGTCCACAGCATATGCCATCTCCCTGGTCCTACATTCATCCCCAGAACATCTGAATAACAAAGATACCTATGTTAGACTCATTTATTGACTTTAGCTCCACCTTTAACACCATAATTCCAACAAAACTCATCACTAAACTCCAAGACCTAGGACTCTGCTCCCCCACTCTGCTCCCACTGAATCCTCGACTTCCTGACCTGCAGACCGCAATCAGTAAATGTAGGCGACAACACCCCCTCTGCAATAATCCTCAACACTGGTGCCCTGCAAGGCTACATACTCAGCCCCTTTTACTATGCTCCTTATACACTCATGACAAGGCCAAATTCAGCTCGAACTCCATTTACAAATTTGCTGATGACACCACCATAGTGGATCAGATCTCAAACAATTACAAGACAGAGTACAGAAAAGGTTGAGACAACTTAGCAGCATGGTATTAAGACAACAATATCTCCCTCAATGTCAGCAAAATAAAGGAGCTGGTCATCGATTTTAGGAAGTGGAGTGGAGGACATGCCCCTGTCTGTATCGATTGGTGCTGAGGTGAAAGTGGTTGAGAGGTTCAAGTTCCTAAGAGTAAATATCACCAACGATCTAACCTGGTCCATCCACATCGATGCTATAGTCAAGAAAGTACACCAGTCTCTCTACTTCCTCAGAAGGCTTTTTAAGGAAATTCGAAATGTCCACAATGACTGACCAATTTTTATAGATGCACCATAGAAAGCATCCTATCTGGATGCATTGCAGCTTGGTATAGCAACTGCTCTGCTCAAGACCACAAGAAATTACAGAGAGTTGTGAACGTAGCCTAGTCCATCACAAAAACCAGCCTTCCATCTGTTGACACTGTCTACACTTCCTGCTGCCTCGGGAAAGCAGCCAACATAATCAAAGACCCTCCCAGTCTGGGTATACTCTCTTCCACTCCCTTTCATGGGGCAGAAGATACAAAAGTTTGAAAATACATACCGCTTCTTCCCTACTGTTATCTGACTTATGAACAGACCTCTCATATTTTAGAGTTGATCTTTCCTTGGACCTTCTCTGTAGCTGTAACACTATATTCTGCATTCTGTTCTATTACCCTGATGTACTTCCGTAAGGTATATTTTGCGTGGTTAGCACACGATACAATGCTTTTCACTGTATCTTGGCACATGTGACAATAATAAATCAAACCAAATCAGCTTAAAATTTCCCTCCCTCCCTTTGGGGAAGCAACTTCACTCAGCACCCTGGTTAAATTACAGACACATACCTGTGTTCTAGCACACCTTGACAGTACGCTGGTGTGTGAAATAATGGTGTATGGTCATGTTCACTGGAACAATCTGAGATGCATTTGATAGATTCATTGCCACCAATTCTTGTCCTTTGAATTAGTGTAAGCTGCTGATACCAAATGGGGAAGGACGCCCGTACAAAGTCTTTAGTAGAAGATATGCTCAATCTTAATCGGCCATAATGGTTAAGGTTAGGGTTAATCCTTGTGAGAGACAGCTTGTTGATACATCCCAAAATTGAAAGAAGTTGCAAATCACCAAGCATTGCTCATCTCTCATAAACTATTGAATCCACAACTGCAGATAGCCTCAAACATCGAGGATACTTGAACTATGATGATCAGAACTCTAGCCATGGGAAGCACCACATGAGATCTGTGAGCACATAATCTGTGGGGAATGTCAGAAAGATAACAAAGGTTTGGTGAAGAAGCTCCTCACCCCCCAATCCATCACAGTGAAGTCCTATGTTATGCCCTCACACACGGTGGCATGGAGGTTTTCCAAGGAGGTCATTTTCACCCCTCTGTAAAGGAGCTGTGAGATATGTGACATTACAGAATCATCCTTTACACAAGCAAAGTCTTAATGTTACCTTGGGAGTAGAATTATGTTAGTAAGCCACCGGTAAAAAGCAATACAAGCCACAGAGCTGGCAGCCTGGAACTGAGCACTGAAGAGCCTACCTTTAAAAAGCAATGTGACCTACATAGAGGCTAACAGCCTGCATGTCAGTGTTGAAGTCAGTGAGTGTGCACAAGACTACAACATGAGTTCAATCAAGACAGAGTTCAATCTCCAAATTAGCATCAAATGACTTGAGTGCTAAGAAAGCAAATTCAGAGCCATAAAATACATTCTGGTGTGTGAGTGAGTGTGTGAGTGTGTGTGTTCCTGCATATTAAGCACATTGTCTTCAACATGCAAATCAGTCCCTGATCTCCACAGTAAAATATTGAAGGTTGAAGTGGTGTCGGAGTTGGTCTGAGAGCAGGCACGATGATGTTGAGAGGCCAGTGGCTTGCCAATGCCAATGCCAATGCCAATGGACAAAGAACTCAGGAGGATGGTGGCCGTGGACCAGGCATGGCAATTGTAAAAACCATGTCAGTTTATCTTAGTGACTTTAAAAACTATAGACTGCAAGGACAAATAAAAAATGGAGACTTACCAGGGCGCTGCATAATTCACAGCATGGAATTCCATAGATAAGAGTTCACACTGTCTGTTGAATTCCTTGCTGTGAATTATGCA